TATATATATATATATATATATATATATATATATATATATATATGTGTGTGTGTGTGTGCGCCTCAATAATTATAAAATAATCAATAATAGTTTTTTTCTTTTTATCTTAATAAATGGTCTCAGCAGCATAAAATCCACATGTATACAAAGGAATTTTTGAATATTTTTCCTTCTTAATTTACTAATATATTATTAAATTAATGATATGATGAAATTGGAAAGAGGAAACATATTATATAAAAAAAACTCACGTTTTTCTTTGTGCACGACCGAGAAAAAATATCTCTACTAAAAAGAATTAAAAAAAATTCATTATAAAAAAATTACTTTGGGAGTGGGCTTTCACAATGAGAATATACAAGAAGATGTAACATATCTTTCAATTTTATTGAATTATTAATTTAGTTATATTATGATACAGTAAGAAGGAAAATGTTATTCCATTTTTATTTTATTAAATACATTGATATAACTTAATTATGCTTTTAGTTCCTTTCATTTCGCAATCGTGAAAGAATAAAATATAATTCAATCATTTTAGTGTGTTGGTAGCAAAATTTATTAAATATTTGACAAAAGAAGGACGAAAGACTTGAATTGCAAAATAATAATATCTGAAAACTTTGAACAATTCAAATCTATGATACTAAAATGACAAAAAAATGCAACTAATTTTTATTCATGTTTTATTTTTATCGGAATGGTCTAACAAGCCTGAATAAATCCCAGGAATGAGACATATTGCGATCAGCATCAATTTTAAGGATTAGAGGTGTACATATATAATTTTAATTGTATTATAGAGAAGATGTACATGCCGTCTTAAAAATTAAATTTTAAATTTAATTTAATTTTACAAAATCAGGTGAGATGTCAAAACATGTAAATCTAATACTAAATATTAATAGATTATCCAATAATAATCTAATAACAGAAAATTTATACCTATTTTATATATTATAAATTCATCAAAGAATCTCTGAGGGACACTGTTAATAGACAAACACAAATCATGCTAGTAAATATGATGGCAAGGTATTGTCGTGCGTGCAAATAGATCCATGACCACATGAATGCGAGTCAACATAACTATAACGCTCAATGACCCCACTACAAATATTGTCCTGTATGAACAACAGAAGATACATGCAATGATGCATATTACATTCAGTATGACATGTATCAATATACGCCATATAAGCTTTGAAACTCCATTATAAAAAAATCCAAAACTTGTAATAATACACTATTCTCTTCCGCCCTCCCTGCATGTTTCGTTTTTAAATAGAGAGCACAGGTGTTTCCTGTTCTATCTGATTTAAATCTAGGCTACAATAAATTATGAAGAGCTCACTTTCAGTAACAGTCGAATGATCCTATCCTATACTGCAGCTGTTTATCGATCCTCTTTTCTCCTGAACACTCTATATGTGTTGGCCATATAAAGGAGTAACTAATTTACGTGTCAAATAAGTCATACAACAAAAGACCAAAAAATTTAAGTATTCAGAGGTATTTCTAAGGCAATACCGTAAAGCAAATCTTTGCAACGTACGACTTCAGATATTTCATCAGATCTTCTCTGAAGAACGAACTCAGTTAGCTCATGTGGCAAACCTCCATGATTGCATCCCTGAAAAACTATATGGTTTTGAAAGTGAATGACCCTTTCCAAGCCATGAAATGGTCGTAACCTTTTCAACGCCAACCAAATACTCTTCGAGCACTATAGTGCAAACTAGATTTGAGCAAAGAGTACTTCATTCCATGTATCAGGAACACCAGGCAAACACCAGTGTAAACAATCCTGCACACCGGGCTTTGCTGTAATACTGAACCGTGATATATGAGCCTCATCCCTGAGCTGAGAAAGAGCTGTTATGTCTAAGAGTTTAACACCTGTTCCCTTTACTGCATGTGCAGCGCCTTGATCGCTAGACTCTTCTTCCAATATTTCCTTTCCAACAGACATTGGTTTGGTGTTGTCACAACTGCCTCCTGTGTTCCACTCCCCACCAAAAAAATGCCTAGGAGAGATGGTCCGAAGGAATGCTTTAAGACCTGGATATTTTGGAAGCTGTGAATTCACCCAACTAACAATGCTGTGGATTGTAAGATTCTTGGCACCCCAAATCACTGCTATCTTCCTATCAGTATTTGGCACACCACCAACATGCATTACCCATCGATTAGCATTGAGCTTTCCCCGATTCCAGTGGTGACCTGTGTTGAGAACCAATACATCGAACTTGTGGAGATACTGGCGCAAGAACGCTGGTGGTCGATCGAGATGCATTGCATAATCCGTGTTAGGGTTGTTTATATCAATAGGTTCAACATCACATAGGCTTGCAGACCAGTAGTACAGGATGGTCGTATTAGTGCTTGAGAAGCGAAATGCCCACCCATTAGGACGGGCAGAACCATCAGCTATAGTCAATCCATACTCCCTCCCCACATCCTCAACATGAAGCTCATCCTTACCACCAGAGATCATGCACATTAAAGACTGGAACTGTTGTCGCCCCAATGAGTCTCCAACAAAAGCTAGAGTTTTGTTTTGCATCCTGAAAGCACAAAAATTATCATCAATTGATCATTTGTTTATTGACTTTTTCTCTGTTGAACCAAAAAACAAGCCAGTAAAAAAACTGAATGTGGATGAGAAAGTTGAGGGATATTTGTTTTCGAAATCAGAGGAAATCTACAAAGGTGAAAAAAAGGGCATTGAAAAAAACATCAGTCTTGCGATAATGAGTAAACACAATGCTCAAAATCAAATAATACAAAATTACACATGCACTCAACCAAAGTTGACTAATCCAATCCTCCTTCAAGACAATCGAGGAGCACCCTATGCCTGAATAAATTTGAATGATTCTAAGGGTAAAAGGAATTGAAAAAACACAATGTTCAGTACGAAATCATACACAATTACACAAGCTCAATATACACTTCTACATATGGATGAATGAAATACCTTCTCAAGAATTTAGAACCTTCAAATTCCTCCATTTGACAATCCTTGGGTTGCCATCGAAGCCTCTCATATTCAAAATCGGTGCGCTGCATCAAGCGACAAGCCCACATTGTTGATAGCCACTGTTTGCAACCAAAACCTGAATATAAAGGTCGATTGTTGTCTGGGACCCATTTTCCTCTGGCATAGTTACAGACTGGATAAAGGGTCAACAAGGAAACATACATTAGTTATCAATACTTGCAAATATTGTTCATAGTCTAACAAATGTACAAGGTATGTCCCTCCAGCAGAATAATATTTTTCTTTTGGATGATAGGGCAAGCAGGAGCAGTAATTTAGAAAGTTTAAGTCAGGTTGTTTAATACGTGAAATTCGTTTTCGCATGAATAATATATAACTATACCAACCTACTCAAAAGTTGTGACTGAGAATTACCAAAATAATAGGTAATTCTCTTGCAAACAAGAAAAAAAAGTCAATAGCCTAATTACAAGATAATTATAAATTTTTTCAACAATTTTGAAGTAAAAATGGTTTCTTATAAGTTAGGAGATGCCCTTCATTACGAAGTTCATCATTGGAAAATAATTAGAATAACAAAAATCAATTTTCCTCTACCAACCTCCCTATTTGGCCCATCTCTAGAACCAATTCCTCTTATCGTGACACATTCTAACCTACAATCAGAACCATTTGAACACGCATTCTAATTGTGTTTAACAGTTCAAAATTAGTTCCATAAAATTAATTTTATTCAACCTCCAAACAAATGGATCAAATGTTTTGAGTTTTCTTAGAAAAAATTAAATAAACTAAGTTACTAAAAAAAATCCAGAGATATTCTTTAAAAGGAATATCATTTTATAAAACGAGTTTAAAAGAATGTATTGACTTTCGTGCAACTCATACCAAGGATAGAAACTCAGGGAAGAGTTAGGTAGGTGATTAGCAAAAAGACCTCTATACCTTTACTTACTGTAGAATTTTCCCATTTGTCGTCTTTCCCAACGATTGAAGAGCTTGTTTGTGGAGAATTCATCACAGAATCATTTCTATGCTCCTGTTCTTGTTTCAAAGTTTTCTCCTCCTTAGCTTCATTAGTGGTCTTTTCCTTTGCCAATGATTGGTCATCTTCACCCATGTTTTTCCCAGAAGAGGTTTGTGCAGGAACCGTCAGTGATGCTCCCTTGAGATGCACTTTTTCTGGATCATTAGTGGTCTTTTCCTTTGCCAATGATGGACCATCTTCACTCATGTTTTTCCCAGAAGAGGTTTGTACAGGAACCATCTGTGATGCTCCCTCAAGATGCAGTTTTTCTCCTTCATTTACANTATATATATATATATATATATATATATATATATATATATATATGTGTGTGTGTGTGTGCGCCTCAATAATTATAAAATAATCAATAATAGTTTTTTTCTTTTTATCTTAATAAATGGTCTCAGCAGCATAAAATCCACATGTATACAAAGGAATTTTTGAATATTTTTCCTTCTTAATTTACTAATATATTATTAAATTAATGATATGATGAAATTGGAAAGAGGAAACATATTATATAAAAAAAACTCACGTTTTTCTTTGTGCACGACCGAGAAAAAATATCTCTACTAAAAAGAATTAAAAAAAATTCATTATAAAAAAATTACTTTGGGAGTGGGCTTTCACAATGAGAATATACAAGAAGATGTAACATATCTTTCAATTTTATTGAATTATTAATTTAGTTATATTATGATACAGTAAGAAGGAAAATGTTATTCCATTTTTATTTTATTAAATACATTGATATAACTTAATTATGCTTTTAGTTCCTTTCATTTCGCAATCGTGAAAGAATAAAATATAATTCAATCATTTTAGTGTGTTGGTAGCAAAATTTATTAAATATTTGACAAAAGAAGGACGAAAGACTAGAATTGCAAAATAATAATATCTGAAAACTTTGAACAATTCAAATCTATGATACTAAAATGACAAAAAAATGCAACTAATTTTTATTCATGTTTTATTTTTATCGGAATGGTCTAACAAGCCTGAATAAATCCCAGGAACGAGACATATTGCGATCAGCATCAATTTTAAGGATTAGAGGTGTACATATATAATTTTAATTGTATTATAGAGAAGATGTACATGCCGTCTTAAAAATTAAATTTTAAATTTAATTTAATTTTACAAAATCAGGTGAGATGTCAAAACATGTAAATCTAATACTAAATATTAATAGATTATCCAATAATAATCTAATAACAGAAAATTTATACCTATTTTATATATTATAAATTCATCAAAGAATCTCTGAGGGACACTGTTAATAGACAAACACAAATCATGCTAGTAAATATGATGGCAAGGTATTGTCGAGCGTGCAAATAGATCCATGACCACATGAATGCGAGTCAACATAACTATAACGCTCAATGACCCCACTACAAATATTGTCCTGTATGAACAACAGAAGATACATGCAATGATGCATATTACATTCAGTATGACATGTATCAATATACGCCATATAAGCTTTGAAACTCCATTATAAAAAAATCCAAAACTTGTAATAATACACTATTCTCTTCCGCCCTCCCTGCATGTTTCGTTTTTAAATAGAGAGCACAGGTGTTTCCTGTTCTATCTGATTTAAATCTAGGCTACAATAAATTATGAAGAGCTCACTTTCAGTAACAGTCGAATGATCCTATCCTATACTGCAGCTGTTTATCGATCCTCTTTTCTCCTGAACACTCTATATGTGTTGGCCATATAAAGGAGTAACTAATTTACGTGTCAAATAAGTCATACAACAAAAGACCAAAAAATTTAAGTATTCAGAGGTATTTCTAAGGCAATACCGTAAAGCAAATCTTTGCAACGTACGACTTCAGATATTTCATCAGATCTTCTCTGAAGAACGAACTCAGTTAGCACATGTGGCAAACCTCCATGATTGCATCCCTGAAAAACTATATGGTTTTGAAAGTGAATGACCCTTTCCAAGCCATGAAATGGTCGTAACCTTTTCAACGCCAACCAAATACTCTTCGAGCACTATAGTGCAAACTAGATTTGAGCAAAGAGTACTTCATTCCATGTATCAGGAACACCAGGCAAACACCAGTGTAAACAATCCTGCACACCGGGCTTTGCTGTAATACTGAACCGTGATATATGAGCCTCATCCCTGAGCTGAGAAAGAGCTGTTATGTCTAAGAGTTTAACACCTGTTCCCTTTACTGCATGTGCAGCGCCTTGATCGCTAGACTCTTCTTCCAATATTTCCTTTCCAACAGACATTGGTTTGGTGTTGTCACAACTGCCTCCTGTGTTCCACTCCCCACCAAAAAAATGCCTAGGAGAGATGGTCCGAAGGAATGCTTTAAGACCTGGATATTTTGGAAGCTGTGAATTCACCCAACTAACAATGCTGTGGATTGTAAGATTCTTGGCACCCCAAATCACTGCTATCTTCCTATCAGTATTTGGCACACCACCAACATGCATTACCCATCGATTAGCATTGAGCTTTCCCCGATTCCAGTGGTGACCTGTGTTGAGAACCAATACATCGAACTTGTGGAGATACTGGCGCAAGAACGCTGGTGGTCGATCGAGATGCATTGCATAATCCGTGTTAGGGTTGTTTATATCAATAGGTTCAACATCACATAGGCTTGCAGACCAGTAGTACAGGATGGTCGTATTAGTGCTTGAGAAGCGAAATGCCCACCCATTAGGACGGGCAGAACCATCAGCTATAGTCAATCCATACTCCCTCCCCACATCCTCAACATGAAGCTCATCCTTACCACCAGAGATCATGCACATTAAAGACTGGAACTGTTGTCGCCCCAATGAGTCTCCAACAAAAGCTAGAGTTTTGTTTTGCATCCTGAAAGCACAAAAATTATCATCAATTGATCATTTGTTTATTGACTTTTTCTCTGTTGAACCAAAAAACAAGCCAGTAAAAAAACTGAATGTGGATGAGAAAGTTGAGGGATATTTGTTTTCGAAATCAGAGGAAATCTACAAAGGTGAAAAAAAGGGCATTGAAAAAAACATCAGTCTTGCGATAATGAGTAAACACAATGCTCAAAATCAAATAATACAAAATTACACATGCACTCAACCAAAGTTGACTAATCCAATCCTCCTTCAAGACAATCGAGGAGCACCCTATGCCTGAATAAATTTGAATGATTCTAAGGGTAAAAGGAATTGAAAAAACACAATGTTCAGTACGAAATCATACACAATTACACAAGCTCAATATACACTTCTACATATGGATGAATGAAATACCTTCTCAAGAATTTAGAACCTTCAAATTCCTCCATTTGACAATCCTTGGGTTGCCATCGAAGCCTCTCATATTCAAAATCGGTGCGCTGCATCAAGCGACAAGCCCACATTGTTGATAGCCACTGTTTGCAACCAAAACCTGAATATAAAGGTCGATTGTTGTCTGGGACCCATTTTCCTCTGGCATAGTTACAGACTGGATAAAGGGTCAACAAGGAAACATACATTAGTTATCAATACTTGCAAATATTGTTCATAGTCTAACAAATGTACAAGGTATGTCCCTCCAGCAGAATAATATTTTTCTTTTGGATGATAGGGCAAGCAGGAGCAGTAATTTAGAAAGTTTAAGTCAGGTTGTTTAATACGTGAAATTCGTTTTCGCATGAATAATATATAACTATACCAACCTACTCAAAAGTTGTGACTGAGAATTACCAAAATAATAGGTAATTCTCTTGCAAACAAGAAAAAAAAGTCAATAGCCTAATTACAAGATAATTATAAATTTTTTCAACAATTCTGAAGTAAAAATGGTTTCTTATAAGTTAGGAGATGCCCTTCATTACGAAGTTCATCATTGGAAAATAAGTAGAATAACAAAAATCAATTTTCCTCTACCAACCTCCCTATTTGGCCCATCTCTAGAACCAATTCCTCTTATCGTGACACATTCTAACCTACAATCAGAACCATTTGAACACGCATTCTAATTGTGTTTAACAGTTCAAAATTAGTTCCATAAAATTAATTTTATTCAACCTCCAAACAAATGGATCAAATGTTTTGAGTTTTCTTAGAAAAAATTAAATAAACTAAGTTACTAAAAAAAATCCAGAGATATTCTTTAAAAGGAATATCATTTTATAAAACGAGTTTAAAAGAATGTATTGACTTTCGTGCAACTCATACCAAGGATAGAAACTCAGGGAAGAGTTAGGTAGGTGATTAGCAAAAAGACCTCTATACCTTTACTTACTGTAGAATTTTCCCATTTGTCGTCTTTCCCAACGATTGAAGAGCTTGTTTGTGGAGAATTCATCACAGAATCATTTCTATGCTCCTGTTCTTGTTTCAAAGTTTTCTCCTCCTTAGCTTCATTAGTGGTCTTTTCCTTTGCCAATGATTGGTCATCTTCACCCATGTTTTTCCCAGAAGAGGTTTGTGCAGGAACCGTCAGTGATGCTCCCTTGAGATGCACTTTTTCTGGATCATTAGTGGTCTTTTCCTTTGCCAATGATGGACCATCTTCACTCATGTTTTTCCCAGAAGAGGTTTGTACAGGAACCATCTGTGATGCTCCCTCAAGATGCAGTTTTTCTCCTTCATTTACAGTCTTTTCTTTTGTCAACGATGAGCCATCTTCTCCTTCATAAGTGGTTTGTGCAGGAATCTTTTGTGATGCTCCTTCAAGATGAAGATTTTCTGGTTCATTAGCGGTCTTTTCCTTTGGCAGTAATGGTGGGCCATCTTCATCATTGCTCTTCCCAGAAGATATTTGTGAAGGAATAGTCTCTGATACTCCCTCCTGATCGAGTTCTTCTTTGAACTCATTGGTGGTCTTAGTCTTTGCCAACAATGAGCCATCTTCACCCAAACGAGTATCTGGTGATGGAACCTCGACTGAACGAGTAGTAACTAAATGATCTGCATATATGTAAAACAAGCCTCCCAAAAATCAGTACTGAGATCAAACAATGCAAGGGGCTCTATTTAGTATGAACCTTCAAATCCTGGGTACAAAACGAAAGCCTGATAGATGTTTGGTCTGTAAAATATTAATGTTTAAGAAACATTAACAAGTCACACACCTTTACCCTTTACCTTCATAAAATAAATATTTATATTTTTTTCACATTGACAGGGTATAATATTAGTAAAAGTATTTCTCAAAAAAACAATTATATAAATGGAAGTAAACCTGAAGAGAACTGCAGTGCTGGTGTTTCAGGAGGAAGAAAGGTATTAAGACCAGGCATTTTCTCCCATGACCAAAAAATGATAGTTGCAGAC